GGGAAAGAAAAATACCGGCATGATGTGGGGTTTCTGTGATTTTTTATTGCTGTATTTATGAGTCACGGTGATGTGCGTTAATGCCGCCAAATAAAGCGTTGGCTTCTTTTGGCCTCATTAAAAAGTTTTCCATTTTCCGATCTTTCTTTAATACTTTTTGTTTTGCTGAGTTTCCGTTGCATTTTATTTTATTTACTTGTTTTTTTTCTCTTGCTATGCTAAAAAAGAAATGCTTTTACTCTTTTTCTGTTTTTTTTTACTTTTATTGCCACTCTTTTTTCTTTTTCATTTCAGGTCTCTCTGAAGGTGTTCGATGCTGGCTAGTCTCTTTTACACGCGCGCTGCGCCCCGGGAGTTGACGGCAACGGATGAAAAAAGAAATGATCACAAAAGTGAATGCACAACTAATGCGAAGGACGCAAGTGTTCCACAGCCTTTTCTTCAGCGCCAAGCTGTAACAAATCACGCCTTCCTGCCTGGGGTTTCGGCACCGCAGAACCAACGCAGAATGAGTCATTCAGGGGAATTTCTTTCTTCTGCGGACATTTTCAGGATCGGCTGTGAAGATTCAAGCTTACCGATCGAGGATGAGAGTTCGAAAAAGGTTCCTACTTTAGATGAAAAAGCCTCTTTGGAGAGGATTAAGCCGTTATTACACGGCTGTTTAGTGAGAAGGCGTATGAAAAGTCGCTTAGGTCGTTTATTGATAGCAAAAATACTTGAACTAAAAAAACAGGATAGAGTTCAGGATAACTTGGGCAGTTCAAGGGGCCAGGAGAGCTCGCAAAGAGCCGTTTGCCTTTCACACCTTGTTTCCTTTGTGGAACATGGCAAAAGTAACAGTCAAGATGATGAGTGGCAAAAGACGCATGAGAAAAAAACGGTGAAGTTGGTAACAAAACCAGGCTCTGACACTAAAAACAACCCTGAAGGTGCCAAGATGGATCACCATTTGTCACTTTCATTGTATTCATCTGATAAAACCCAAGAACTGGGGCAGCAGATATTTACCTCTCTACAAGAGGCAGTAGGGACAAAAGAGCAACATATCGAAAAAATAATGAGAGATGTTACCCCCGCCTTTTTATTAGAGAGAAGGTCAATGTTTCTTCGTACTATATTTGTTTTGGAGGATTCCGACGGGCGTTTTGCGCAAGTCCCAAGATTAATAGTCGGAGATGGGTCGAATATCCTGAGTCCCGATCGTTCTTTGATGTCTATCTTCGGGGGTCAATACTTTCAGCTTATAGATAACATGAATCACATATGTGGTGCTTCACGTTAATGTACTTTATTGTTTGCTTTTAACAATTGTTCACTATTGCAGTTATTTTTGAGTCATGCGTGGCACATACGTGCATATGTATGTGTCTAAATCACTTCCCCTCCTTTAACTCTATTTAACGATAATAACGTTTGCGATATCGTATAACTGTCTATGTAGATATATCCTTATATTAGAACTTTTTTTTCTCTTATTCTGCTTTCCGTTTACTCCAGGTTTCATGAGGCGTTTTCTGAAAACTCAGTGGACACGGGAAGGTGCCAAAAGATGGATAGCGTTACCTTGGAAATCATCCATTCCGCCTAGGGATGATCTGCGTTGGGAGGGAATTGGGAATTGCGTGGTTCAACAGGCCCTGGCTTCAGACACAGGCCGCTTGGCGTTTGAAGAATGCTCTATTGCCAGACAACAACTAGAAATTCTTGTTCAATCTGCGGGATATGACGCGAATGTTTTCGTGTTTGGTGGATTGGTGGTTTTGGGTCTTTTGGAAGTGGGAGGAGATGTGGATTTTGTGGGTGTGATGGACGTTGAGCCTGGAATTGGCGAAGCAGGTGAAATTGTATCTCGTTTATCAAGAGAAATGCGACGTCTTGGTATGAAAAGTAGTGCGCTACCAAGAGCCCGTGTTCCTGTTATAAAAGCTGATCGGGTAAGTAAGTTGCTTCCTGGCACACCGCTTCATCATTTGTCTGGCTGTGGATTATTTCAATTTACACGGCAGCTAAATGAGACTGAAACCGAAACGTTCAGGACGCGCATGCAAGAGAATTATGCTGCCACTCACGTTGACTGGAATAACAATCATCAGTTTGCAACGATCGAATTTACGTCTACAACGGCGCTTATTTCTGCGCTAACGCAGGTTAAGCGCCATGAAGGCATCGATATTCCTCTTCGCCTTCCGGTTGACCCACGAAATGGACCAGAAATTTACAGACTACCGTTTGATTTTTGTTTCTCCTCTATTGGCCTGAGAAACTCGTACCTTTTGAGTAATACTCTTTCAAATTATGAATTTTCCAGACATTTACTTTTGTTGATAAAAAAATGGGGTCGAAGTAGCGGAGTTATCAACTCGATAGATGGTCTTCTTGCTAGTTACGCCTTAACTGTGATGTGTGCTCACTTCTTGATCAAAGTTGGAAAGCTGCCTAAAGTATCAACGCTACGTTCTACAGATGAGCCACAGCTTCTTCCATTTTTTCCCGATTATCGTCCACTTCATGATGGTAAAGGCTCTGACCTTGCAGAGCTCGGATTTTTAACTGCAGCCTTTTTTGAATACTACGGTCACATTTTCGACTACGAAAAAAGTGTCGTTTGCACGACAAATATGAATCTTCTTAAGAAAACAATGCGATGGGAAAAATCCCCCGGTCTGGAAACTGGACGACCACCATTTTTTGAGTTTGCCATCAAAGATCCTTATGGCTTGGATAGTATAGGAAGAAATCTTGATCGCGAGGCCACTGAATACGTTCGAGATGCTCACGCTGGCGCCCTAAGGTCTCTTCTTGAGGGAAGAAAAGACCCAGAGTTTGCTATCAATACCATTACACAATCCCCACCACGGCCATATAGAAAAAATCGTACGTTGGCCTCGAGGGGCATTGCCTCTATAAATTGCTCACCTGACCAACTGGAGGCTCATCACATGCTAAAAAAGATGGAATTTCATGAGCGTAGAAAAGACATGGAACGATTTGGTCAAAGAACTGTGAGACGCACAGAGCAACAACGTGTTGTGTCAAATGTCGCCAATGACGTTCTTGGTTGGATACGCAGCGACGACTCGCAATAACACCACCAACACCAACAATCAAAAAAGAAAGCAAAACGACAAGAAGGAAAAAAAACTGTTAACAACGACATATGGAAGAGCGATTTCTTTCATTTTATTTTGTTCTTTGCTTTTGCTTGTTTTTTCTTTTCTTTTCTTGAAAAGGAAATATATAACTCCAATATAATGCACTGGTTCGTTTTTTTTCTATTCTGCTGCTTAGTTTGGAGCTAGCATGTATGATGTACTCAGGAAGATCCACTGGTCTCCACAGCTAAGAATCATCCCAAGCGTGGAGGCAAGCGCTACTGAAAGCGATATGCCATGGCTACCGTTAAGTAAGATTTTTGAGGGTCTTTTTCTGACGTGTGAGGAGACTGTATCTAATCGTCGTTTTGCACAAAGTAGTGGGATTTCCCTTATTCTGACATTGAATGGAGGCGATTATGTAGCTCCCTATAGAGTGTATGAATATTCTTCTGATATGCAACGCTGCGTTTATACCAAATTGACTTCGTTTTCTGAATTTCTAACTCGACTTGATCGTTACACTTGTCAAGAAATACCCGATGAGGTTCAATTTCGGAAGGTCTTCCTCCGCTCGGTTCCGGCTGAAGACAGTCCATCGTATGATATTAGTTGTCACTTTCCTGAATTATGTACACTTATCGAGCTGGTGATGGTAAATAGAAAAAATATGCAAAACTCTTCTCTAGCTTTACATGCGATGGCGGTGAATTGTCTTGTGGGTGTGAGTCGTTCTGTTACAGTGGTTGCCGCCTATATTATGAAGCGAAGCGGATGCTCCAAAGACGAAGCACTCATAATGGTGAAAAATGCCCGTCCTGTGGCAAATCCCAATCCTGGGTTTCACGCTCATCTTTTGTCCTGGGGAAACGCGGGGTATTATCGGGTGGTGGATTGCTTGACTGCTTTGCTGGCCGCCAGTGAATTACGCCACGAAGGCAAATTAATAACATATATGGAAAAATATTTTCCACTAATACTTCGTCTTAACAAGTTGGGATGCGATAGGCAATTTTTTGCGCTTGCTATAGCGGAGGCAGTTCTCGGTGAAGACGATCTTCGTTATGCCTTGGAAAAAGTTTATGATCATATTCTGTACTCTGTGACTGATGAAGTTTTTGCCGACGTTCCTGCGTTCTTTGCTAATGTTTCTGAGACGATTGCGGGGTTTTTTCGTTTTGTTCCAATGTTTTCCACTTATACCTTCAGAAGGATGGATTACTGCTTTGCTGACGCTCTTTATTATGAAATTTGCAAGAGTCTTGCGGAACTAGGGGTTAGAAGCCATCACCCCGATATTGTGGGTGCGTTTTGCTCTTTTTTTGAGGCCATTGGCTTAAAACATGTGGTGAAAAACTCGGGTGGGCGACCGCGAATTATTGACTCCGTTGGGAAAACAATTGAGGCCTCTTCAGAGAAACTGATATTGTCATTTCCGTTTCTTCCATTTTTGGCACCATTTGCGGCGGGATTCCTTCCACAGAAGGAGGTGGAATTTTTTGGGGAAGAAAATTGGACAACGCAAGAGGTGGAAAGTAAACTTTCCGAGGTGCTATCAACGTTTCGAGAAAACTTTCTTCTAACAGCTTCGGGAACGGAGATGTCGTCTGATCCTTTTTTCAATCCGGGTCGCTGGCATGCTGGGTCACGGCTTCGTTTTCTGGAGTATGACATGGAGGTAAAGGTGATGGAAAGTGTGGAGAGCGGTTTGACATTGTTGGATGCTGTAAGCCCGTACCTGAAGTTGAATGATTGGGACTCAAGTGTTTCTTTGGCTTGGATGCGCAAGCTCACTGGTGCAGTCGTAGGCACAAGATTCTTTTATGATGCTGTCGACAGCTATTTTAAGCTTCACTACCGTAACTCTGCTGCTGTGAATGCAGCATGCTTGGTTGCGAATAAGTTCGCACCATGGGAGGAAATTTTTGGTATACTACAAACTGCATCTACTTTGTATGTCAATAAATGCGGTGAAGAGTCTTCTGATTTTTTGATATGGATAAGAGAAGAGTTGGGCCCGCTGCTTTCACAGGGCATCGTCTCTATCCCTGCGTCGTAGGGACGCATTCCCAATTGTTCAAGTTTGTCGTGGTTGATATTATTAAAATTGGTCTTCATTATACCTGATTGGTTTTCAATTTTTTTTTTATTGCGTTCCCCGCCGACGAATCGTTTTTGTCTTTATTCTTGACGTCTAACATCATATACTGTACAGTAGCGTTTTAAAGACGAGCACGCCCTATTGCAGTGATCATTCTCCTCGCTCTTCGTCTTCTTCATGCTTAAGTGAGAGGGTAGTTTGTTGGAAATGGCGAGCGCTTTCGATGACATCACTCGCCAGTTTCTCAGGCGCAACTATGACGTGTTTGACCGTGACAAAATTGGGCGTGTGCCCCTAGCGGATCTCCTCACTCTTCTGCAGATCTGTGGGGCCACACCCTCCGAGTCGGACGTAGAGAACTGGAAAAATGAGGCGGATCCTGATGGACGTGGGTCTATGAACTTTGAGGGCTTTTGTCGCGTGATGATGATAGCTTTTCAAAACATGAAGACTGCGCGAGAGCTTAAGAGCGCATTTCAGGGACTTGATCCTGATGGCAAAGGGCTTTTGTCGCAAACTGAGCTGCGCTATTACCTGACGAGTTACGGTGACTGCTTGAGTACAGAAGAAATGAACGAGTTTGTTGAGGAGATGCGGTCTGAGATGGACATGGAGGGCAACTTTGTCTACTCTGACTTGGTTTACAAGATGACCCCCGAAATGTTTCATTGACGTTGCAACCCCACGACTTCTTTGAGCTGCGAATGTGCGTGCGTCGCTAGAGTTGAATGTATATATACATAATATATATTTATATATATTTCTTTGTTCTTCTTGTGGCTATTTTGTGTTGCTTGGGCGAAAGTATGTGCTGCGGCGTTCTGAGTGAGTGTGCATTTTTATTGTTTTTAAAGCTCTTCTTGGTTGCACCCCCTCCAACTCTCTTTTTTAAATTTTTATTCCGCTTTCTCTCTCTCTTTCTTGTATTTCGTCTTTATTTCTTTCTCCCATTTTGCCAACCCGTCTGTGTGTGTGTGTGTGTGTGGCTAAAGCGAGGATGGCGACCGTACCTGTAATTCTGGAGGACACCTTCACGGTCACGGCTCTCAATCCGGATGGGGTTGTCTACATTAGGGTGTCACGAATTCAGTGCAAGAATGAGCGCGGAAACCTCACCATCACAGCAGACATCAACACCGAAGAGTTTCCCGTGAGCCTGGACGACCGCCTCACGATTATGCTGGCGAACTCCATTGAGTTGTCGGGACAGTCGGGGGCCAAACATTACGACCAGAGTGTCTACCACCGCGAGACACGCCTGCAGGACTGCGACTACGCCATGCATGGCCGCGTGTATGGCCATGAGGTGGACGAGAGTAGTTTAGATGTTAAGGTGCACATCAGCTGTGGTGGACTTTTGACGCAGGTTATTGGTAGTCCGCAGAGCTTGCGGGACATTCACTACAATAGCGATGTCTACATCTTGATAAAGCGTGTGGGGAAATGAGGCGGGGGAGGACTTCTTCATTCTTTGGGGGTGAGGGTGCTTTCCCGTACTGGTTGTGCCATCAATTCTAACTGACTGAGATGAGGGATAAGAGAAAAAAAATATGGAGAAGTAAAAAGAAAAAAAAAGAGATGCATGCATGCATGCATTTACACACAGAGGAAACCGGTATTAATGCTTGAAGAAGTTTTCGTCTCCTTGTTTTCTAATCAAATAGAAAGCTGAGGAAGCGGAAGAAGAAAAAGTCGTGGTCATAATTCCCCTGTTGCTCTCTCTCTATAAATGTATGGGTGTGTGAGCCACTCATTGTAGCCTTCTTCAGTATTTATTGATTTTCCTTCTTTACTTGCTATTGCTATTGCTGGGTGCTGCGTCTGTGCTGCGTGGCCTGATGTGCTCTTATCAGCTGTGGCTCCGAGGGCCTAGCCATGAGGCGTTCCAGAAGCGAAGCCCTTGTTTGCCTGCATGCGGCGTTTCTACGTCAACAGCGGCGTTGCGACACGGATGGGGGACAGCCGTATCGTCGTCGCTCTTCGGACCCTCAAAGCATTAGGGAGAGGGGGAATTTTCAGAGGGATATGCGGTTTTCTAAGCAGCGCCCTCTTCCAACGGCGCCGTGGCTGCAGGACAAGAAGCGAACCTACATGGATGACGCTGAACGCTTGTATGGCCGTAAGGAGACGTGGTGCAAGGTGAAGGATGCGGCACTGCGTGAGAAGTTGGCGTCTTTGCTACAAGACTATTTGAAGGACATGATTGACGCAACTAAGCTGGAGGTGCGTAACGCAAAGAAGTATATGCGGCTCTCCGACCAAATGGATGCCGAGTATCGCAGTTGCGTGGCAGCGGCGACCTCTTCCTCTCCACACCTGCTCCGTTCGTGGGCACGGACGGTGTGCCGGAAGGAGGGAGAGGAAAGTCGTGTGCCGTCTGTGCCCTGCGGTGCTGAAGCATGCGCTCCGTCAAGGGGAGATGGTGTTACTGCCCCGCTTGCCGACGAGGAGGATGGCGATGCGACTAGAGAAGAAGAACAAAGCCAGGAGACGCGTCTGGCGCGGAGTAAGTTTTTGGAATCGCGACGTCACCAAGGCGAGGAGGCCGTGCTGGAAAATACACCTGCCACCATGGATCTTTTGAAGCATGAGAAGCGGACCGCTCCTTATTCCGCGTTTCCGTTTCTGCGCCAGCGGGCCATGGAGAAGGAAGCCACCTTGGACCCGTCCTTGGTTGATTGGACGGCGAAGTACTTCCCGGAGGATGACGATCACACTTTCTCGTCCCCACCAAAGCTGCACAGGGGTGCAGAGGAGGGGGGAACAAGCACGGCTTCTTCAATCGCACCGGCGTCAGCGGGGAATAATGATCCTTCCTATCCCAAACCGAGTGCACGCCGTCGCTTGCAGCGCTCGCTAAGGTTGCACGAAGACATGCATCGGCCCACGTTTGATGCAGAGGGGGTGTTTTACCGTGTTCGTCGACAGGGCAACGAGGAGGATCGTGCGGCAAAACCGCGGGCTGTCCGCGGCTCCGACGAAACCGCTGGCCGAGGCAGTGAGGTGGTGAAGGTGCCGTGGGACACGGTGGTGAAGGCGAATGAGCAGGGCTATTCTGCGGATATCTTACGTGCCAAAGAGCGACTGCTACGGCTTTCAAGAGGCGAGGATCCGGCGACCATTCCGTGATGCTTCCCTTCACCTCTATTAACTGCTCCTTTGAGGAGGTGTCGCTGTTGCTGTTGCTGTTATCCTGCTGCGTGCCCGGCTGTGTGGTAGATGGCTGTTTGAGGTGCAAAGATGTCTTGAGGTGTGACGTGCACTGAGGTTTATTTTTGCACTCTTCTTCTTTTATGATTATTATTCTTCTTCATTTCAAATTTTCTTCTGGAACCTATCTTCAGTGCAGGGCACACTTGATGAGTGTGCATGGTAGTAACTTGCTTGAGTGGACAAGTCGTTAGGTGCCGTGTGGACTATGGTAATGGCATCATCAAGCCCTTTTTGCGGGGTGCCACCAGTGTTTACTCGCGTGAGGGAGTGTTGCTGGATCTCAAGCCAACCGATCACATCATGTTTCTTTTTGGTGACGTACATATGACAAGTGGGAAACTACCCTTGTATGCGGCGTCCCAGCTGCAACCTACCGCCGTGGTTCCTGGCATACATGTGGGCAGCGTGGTTAGCTTCGTGTTGCAGCAGCGTGTATTTTCACAGGGAGACCTCCTTGCAGGCGCACGTCAAGGGATTCAGGCGGCTAAGGTGACGATGAATGATGATGCATCGTTGAGCGCTTCTTCACATTGCCTAAGCAACAGTGAGTGGCTGAGGTGGAGGGAGGAGCAAAGGCGTTTAGAGGGACTGCTGCGGAAGAGTGGCCGGAGAAGTGCCTCCGCTCCCCATGACACCAGTTTGGACTCGTTCAGCGTCATGCCCATCGATTTCTGAGACACTGGGAGGGCCACAAAACTTTGTTGATTTTGCTCGACTTCTGTGAAGAAGTACTCAACGAGCACAGAGGAAGGGGAGAGGCGATCACCATTCTCAACGCCAGTTACGCGCCCGTTCCATTTTCCCCCCTCATTTTTTGCTTCCTGCCTCAGTGTGTGCAATAGGCGAGTCCCCGGTCCCTCTCCTAGTTGTTTGCTTCTTCCTTTACTTTCTTCCTTCCTCCCCTCCACTTTATTTGCTTTTTGTTTCTCCCTCCCAAGTAAAGGCAGTAAAGGAGAAGCATCCAATACTACAACCAACAAGGGAAGAAAGGGAATCTAATTGGACACGTTTGCAATTGACTAACGACTTCTCCATGTTTCGTGTCTCTCACCTCAGTCGCATGGCGCCTTGCAGCGTGCTTTACAACAAGGGAAAGGTGATATCGTGGATGTCGGGACGCGGCTTCGGCTTTATTGAGGACGACGTGGACAAGAAGCAGCACTTTGTGCACTTCTCGGCTCTCCAGACGGAGACAGGTGGGTTTCGCTCTCTCACCGTAGGCCAGGAAGTTGAATTCGAGGTTGCCTCGCAGGACGGACGCACCCGCGCCGAAAATGTGACCGCGCCGGGGGGCTCGAAGTTGCCATCCGGCCCGCGACCTCCGGAGGGCATGGGACGCGGCCGCGGCTTTGGTCGTGGCCGTGGTGCCGGTGGCCGAGGCTTTGGCGGCAACGGAGGCCGCGGGGGCGGCGACAGCTACCAGGGCAGGGGCGGCCAGAACCTCAGCGACGATTTCTAAATCAGAGAGGAGGAACAAAAAGAGGGGACAGTAACGGGCGCGTGAGGGGTGCACGTTGGTTATGCGGCAGGGGTGGGGTCATAAGCGGTAACGGGTTCATGTACTTTTCCAAGGCCTGCCTGCGGCGAGAGATTGGCGTGGGATGCAGGCACACTGCGAGGAGGATCCAAAACTCCCCCCCAGAGGAATGGTAAGAAAAACAAAGAGTGGGGGCAAAACAGAACAAGGACCGAAAATAAAACGTGTGTCGCGTGGTGAGAAGCCGATGGGGTATATAGTTAGCTTGCACCCCACTCCGCCGCACTCACACCTTTGAAGGGCGTTCGTATCGTTTTGTACACGAAAGAAAAGAAACACGCAGAAAAACGAGGGATACCTCTGCAGTAATTGGGAGCAAAAGTATGAATGAAACCAACGAAGGAAAGAAAAAGAAAATATATATATATTAAAAAAAACACGAACAAAGAATAAGAGACAAATGGGAAAGAATCACGTCAGACACACTCCTGCTGCTTCCGTCGTAGCCAATTTAGAGAGGAGACAGAACCTAGCCATTTACCTGAAACAGCCTAAGTTTTGTTCTTCAAACTGAAAGTGAAGTTCTATTTTGTGTGCAAGTGTTTTTTTTTCAAAAAAATTCTTGTTCCGTAGTCTGTCATTCTTGCTGCCGTTTTTCCTTTTTTTCTCTCCTTCGATTCGCAAATGCTCCTCTTAGTTACTCTAAACAAGCACCACATATTTGTTCACATAAATAAACATATAATATATATATTTCCCCCACGGTTTCCTTGAAGCACATGGACAATTCGGCTCCCCACAGTGGTGGCGAAAGTGTTTGCAGTTGTGCCATGTGTAGGCTCACGTGCTATGTTTCTGGTGTGTACAGCAACCAGCGAAGGGCATCGAAGCATGTGATGCTCGCTCGCCCGTCGCCTTTTTTCACGGGAACAGGAGGCATTCCCCCTCCGCTACCCCCGGTGGATCTGACCTTATTTCCGCAAGAGCCGCGTGTATGCCCCGCTTACGAGGCCTACGGCTTTTGCCCCTTTGCTTGCGTCTGCTTTTTGCCTCATGTTGCTGGAACTGAGCCCTTGGTGCGTCCAGTGGGTGATGCTAACAAGGAATTTGACCGTCTCGTTACAATCTCACGCTTGCAGGAGGACGAGGAGCTGTGGAGCTGTGCCGTGTGTGGTTATGGGGGCATAGACGAGAATAGTCAAGGTAAGGTTGGTGAAATGTACTACTACCGCCAGTGCCCTAGCTGCTCCTTGATGTGCTACTGTCCGTATATGATTTATTTAATTGAGGCTGTACTGGAAGCGGCTGGCGACGATTACCAAATGTTCAAAACGCTAATAGATCGGTATCGAGAGGCAATGCCGGATATCTTGAAAATACCTCTGACCTACGAGGCACATCGTCTCTCATCTATGGCATTCGCTTGGAGCCTAGTTTCACCAAAATGTGTAAAAGATGCGTTGGACGCTGCGTATCGGGCGCTACCTGACATGGCTGCGCTCGTCAGCGTTGGTAGCGGCACTGGATACATTGAGCACATTTTTAACAGAGTGGCAAACGGCGCAGCCGCAGTTCCGAAGGGCCCGGATGCATCCTTGGGTCCATCCTCCTTTGAGGGTGTGCACGCCTGCTTCTATCCACATAAAAAATTACCCGTTTTCGCCTTTGATGAGGTTGCACTGAACTGTCCCTACAGCGTCGCAGTTTCGTTGGGAGGTCCAGCTTCACTTCTCTCACTAAACTGTCCCAAATCAGTTTTGCTCTTGTGTTGGCCGCCGTTCGGTTCACCCCAGGAGGAGCAGAGTTCGATGGGCTTTGAGGCACTTGAGTACTTCACTCAAGCTGGTGGGCAGGTTGTCATTTACATTGGTGACGTCGCATCCACAGGGGACTGGCGGTTTCACGAGTTACTCTACACACACTACAAGCTCCTCAAGGAGTACCCGGTTCGCCGTGAGCTGCGTCGGTGGTATCCTCAAGAAATGGGCCTGGTTTACGCCGGAAACGACACTATCGGTGTCTACAAAGTGAGGGAACAGCCGCTGCCTTCGCCACACTGGCAGTGGGGAACCTGCAGTAGTTAATTCACTTGGACCCAAAGGCGTTGCTTACCCCCGCTTTTTTTTGCTGCGAGCCTGCGATAGGGGAGTGGCCTGGCGCGAGGTGCGTCTGGTAAAATAAATAAAATAATGGCAACAAAACAAATGAAGCTACTGCGCCGATAACGTCTTCTCTCGGCTGTTTCACCGTCTGCAGTTTCTCAAAAAGTGTGTGGGCGCAGAAGGGCAGGTGTTTTTTATGTGCGGGTTCCTGCGTCGCACGACGCTCCCTGCGGCTTCCGAGGTGGCGTGGGCGGCGGCGGCCGCTGAAGGGGCCGTCAAAGCGGCATTTCCCTTTGGCGTTCTTCCGCCGACGCGCCTGCACGCGGGCGGCAC